AGAGGTAGGTCATTTACCATTATTAAAATAATTTTATAATTTTTGACAAGACTATGTCTTGTTTATATAATCGTACCGCCAGTTTATGTTACCAGCTTAGAGGTATGAAGGAGTACATGTCGAGAGTTGGGAACCATAGGTAACATTAACAGAGAGTTGATATTTGGCACAGAGTATTAGGTGCCCAAATCATTTGCACATAAAGAAATCCAGACTCGTAGGTAGTCAGGGGACCGAGAACCGAGTCAAAATAAGATACAAAATGGCGACCCTCTTCTACAAACAGGCAAAACAGCCACCTTACCCCACCGAAGTCAGGTGGGGGAGAGTACCACCCACAGTCATTCTAAGAAGTGAACTCTGACCTTAGGACTGAACACGTTTCTTCTATGTTAAATAAAATTTGTAATCTAATTTTGTAAATTTGGGAGCGCTTCAAATATGACATTAAAACGGTGTCGTTACAACTAGGGTTTTTTTTAACATTATCTAGTATAGTAAAATCGTGGGACCGATAAAGATTTGACGTTATATTAGAGTTGTCATTACATCCGATGACGTTATAATTGGGTTAAACTGTATATTGTTTGTGCAAAATAAAAAAGTAATTTCGGACGATACAATAGCCAGGATTATTTTTTCAAAAACGGGAAATTTTCGTTACGCATCGACAAAAATTCAACCCGGGCCGACACGCAACGGAGAGAAATTTCGAAATTGGATAGGTTAATTTCATCGAAAATGCATCGTGTCCGGCGAAGTTTGAACGATCGCGCCCAAAAGCAGCGATTCCAAAGACGATTGGAGAATGAGAACGAGACCCGCTTTGAGCGTCAAAATGATTCCGTTTAGTAGTGTGTGGCTGTCAGCCATACTTTAGTCTTTATATAGTTCGTAAGTTCTTTACTTTTTTTCTATTTTCTTCTTTCGTTTCTATTTTCTAATTTCCTTTCCAAAATGCATCGATATTGATGAAATTTTTAAAATTTTTCATACAAGCATAGCTGACGGCGACGACGAAGACATATCAACTAATACCGCATTTTTAAAAAAATGGTACAGTGGCGACATTGATACCGAAGAATTGGACGAGGAATTGTTGCAATTTAAGTTAATTTGTAAATGCCAAAATTTAACGTTGCCATCTGATATGCTGCAATTTATAAAGAGCACAAAAATAGTATCAACATTTCCAAATATAGAAACAATATTGCGAATATATTTAACTTTGCATATATCAAATGCATCTGGTGAAAGGTCATTCTCAGTATTAAAACGTGTAAAAAATTATTTACGAAACTCACTGAATGAATCAAAATTAAATTCTTTAGCTGTTTTATACATCGAACAAAATGCTTTGGATAATATTAATTGTGATGAAATAATTGATAATTTTGCTGAATTAAAGACTAGAAAACAGAATTTTTAAATAAAGTTTATTTATACAGTACTTAATTTTTTAAACTATCTTGGCTTTTATTTAAATTATATTTTTTATTAGTCAATTTATCTCTCATGAGTAAAATATTTATTTAAATATTAAACAAAAACGTTAAATTAAACAATTGATATTTTAAGGTAATATTGTTATTGTATAACAACTTTTGTTAGACATTTAATAAAATAAATTTCAATTTTTTTAAATTTATAAACAAACTGTTCAAACTTTTCTAGAAAAACTAAAATTAAGATTTGTTTTAGTTTTCTACATTACAGTATTTAGGTTTGTTTTAAATCTTTTGTGTGCTTTATTTCTTGTGGGAGAGGGAGGGGGGCCCGGTAAGAAGAAAATGTCTAGGGCCCCAAAGTGGGTTAATCCGGCCCTGAGAATAAAGGCTATTATATCAACGTAATTACCCTCGATATTTGCAGTGCTTATGACAAAATCAACCACTCTCATGTTATAAGGAAGGCTTTAGATAAAGGCTTAAAAGGCAACTCAATTTTGTGGCTCCAAGACTTCCTATCCAACAGGCAGGTTCAAAACCTCTCCCCTAGCAGCATTCAATGCATAGGAATCCCACAAGGCAGTTTAATCTCTCCCTTCCTGTTTGCCATCTTTATGAATGACATCTTTCATCTAGAAAATGAACACACCAAAATATGTCTACGCAGACAATGTTACTGCCGTCACGCACGGTACTGACCCGACCCACCTACAACGTAACACGATCCAATTTTTAAACAAGTTTGGCAGATGGTCCCAGAAAAATTCTGCTCAGTGCCAACCATGGAAGTGCACGATTTTGCGCATACCCACCAAAATCGGAGCCAACCAGGATTTCGTCCTCAATATCCAAATAATACCCGAGGTCTCCAAATTCAAACTACTTGGCGTCTATATTACTGCACGTCTTATGTGGAACACCCACATTCGGGACATGAGCAGAAAGCTTCTGAACATCTTTAAAATTTATTGTAACAAAAAAACACGGCAGCCAGCCAAAGGATCTCTTGTGTATCGTCGACAGCACTATCGGCAGCTTACTCATGTATGTCGTCCCCAGCATCACAACCTTAACTAAAACCCAGATGGCCACCCTAGAATCCTTACAGATGCAGTACATTAAACTCAGCTATGGTCTCCCTATGACCGCTAACAACATTCTTACTCGCAGAGCGACCAACATCACTACCATAGCTTGCCAGTACAGGAAATACCAAATAAAACACTATAGTTCCTACCTCCAGAAGGCTTTGCGGGACAACTCTCGGAGAATTATTCAACTCATTCACAGCAATGACGGAGCCACCCTTGTGAAAATCCCTATAGCCATTACATCAGGAACTGGACTAACAGCCATAACATCCCCACCGACAACCACACGACCCAAAACCAGATGCCCTCCAACGCCACCGTCTTCGACATACACATTGATGACCTTCCATTCCAGGACTCCTCCCTACCGGATCCAGCGATTCAATCCATCTTTAACGAGTAGGGAACGTTACAAGATCTCTCTACTTTCCTGGCCACTGACAGCTCCAAAACTGACACAACTGTCACTGCAGCGTTCATCGACTACACCATCAACACTAAAGCCCATTATACTCTACACCCCGAGGCCACCATTTTCACGGCGGAGGGTTTCACCATTCTTCGCGCGCTACAACATGCTACTGAGACTAATAGCAACATCACTTTGTGCACGGACTCCAAAGCTATCCTCACCGCCATAAACGCCCACCACGATAAAGCCTGGACTCCACATTACCGGAATCCGCGACGTAATTGTAAAACTGAAAGCCAAACTGACGAAACTTCCGGTTTTGGAACGTTCTGTTGGACAGAAACAAGACTGAAAGCAAAGTTAAAAATTATTTAACTTNTGTTTCCTCAGAAAATACTGTACTGTACTTGTATGTATTGTTTACTTGAGAATACAACAGAGAATAAACTGCTCAAATACCCTTAAACAAGGGGAAAGTACATCCTTTATGAAGGCATAGAGCCTTTACTACATGAAAATGAAAATTAATGAATACACTGTGCACAGTAATTTACCCGATAAGACAGACCTCAGAAAAATACTTTATGAGGCATAAAGCTATCTATAATGAAAATTAATTAACAGGATTTTTTTGCTCTGCCAAGGCGTGGCCGAGTTATCCGGACTGCCGGGTTATCGAGTGCCGAGTTTTCGAGACTCTACTGTAATAAAATTTAGCTATGATTTTTATTCCGCAACCTTTTTCTACTTGCGGCACACCAAAATGTTATTCTTCTCACAAACGTGTATGATATGATACTATTAATATAATTACGTAATGCCATTAACCTATTATTAAAACAGACATCAACGCCTGGGAACAAATGTATTTTACATTTAATTTAAAATACATAAAAATGCGGGACTTGTAATAAAGAATAAATGATCATCATCATATTTCATCAGTGCTGCGGCAGACAATGAAATACAAGCATAAGAAATACAGCAACTGTGATAAAAATATATAAATAAAACTTGAAATTAATAGAATATGTAAACGTTTACGTCACATCTTTCACCTTGTGATGGCACACCGGTTGCGGAATACCGCGATTAACCGATGCTCAGATCGTCTCGTCCGCTAGCAAGAAAAGATCATTTGCAGCTTCACGAATTTTAGTTCTGTTCTCTTTCCGAACAGCAGAGCTGCATTCTTCTGGGCAGCTTTCCAAAATAATATCCAAAAGCTCCCTAAGCTTTTTACGGACCGACGAGACGTCCGAGCATCGGCTCCCGGCCCGTGTTTCCAGAACTAGATACACATGCCATCTAGAAAGACCCTTAAACTACACGTACACTACTTAAACTACCTTAAAAGTAATAACTTATAACTTAAACCAAGGAAAAGAACAGAACTGAAAACCGAAATACTGCAAACAGTGCCGTAACTAGGCAAGTGTAAGAGGTGCACCCGCAGGACCGGATCATCGAATAGACAAATGAGACAAATGTCTAGGGCCCGGATTTTTGAGGGGCCCGGTCAAACTGTCTATTTTNTTAAGTGATACATATTAATATAAATTAAACAATGTTTTCTTCGTCATCACTAAAAACACTATTAATTAACCGAGAGCGTTTTCTATTTGGCAAGTTATCCTTATCCTCTGAGCATTTTTCTGCATTATCTTCAGATCCATGCTTTACCTTTTGCAAAAAGTATGTAATTTTAGATTGCTTGCTTCTAGTTAAAAGGTCTTTATAAATTTCCTTATATGGTGCTAAGCACTTATGAAGAATAAAGCAAGTATGGAATAAGGGAAAAACATTCGGCAACATCAGAAGCAGAAGCGTCGCGATCTGGCAACATTGAAACAAGTTTCGAGAAGGACCACGTGTATCGACAGAAGGCGAGAAGAGAAAATTTACATACTTAAGTACTAATAGTTCACGAAAATAATAATTTTCGTGAACTATTATTACTTAAGTATGTAAAAATTTATTACATTTCCTGTTGTACGAGGGTTTTACCCAATTCTCGAACCGTGTCAGAGTGAATCCGTGCTATAAAAGTACCGTGTTATACGGGGGATGGTACCAATTCTCGAACCGTGTTAGAGCGAATCCGTGCTATAGAAGTGCCGTGTTATACGGGGGTTACCTGTACCTTTTTTTCGGCTTCTACGTATAGGTGGAACATTTTAGAAAAAAGTTTTGCCGCAAATAATAAACATTTTACAGTAAAAAAGTTATGTACTACGAGATGGTCTTGTAGAGCTGATGCAGTTAAGGCAATTCGCTTTGGGTTTGACCAAATAAAAAGTGCTCTTCTTGAAATATCTTCAGACGAATCTCAGAAATGTTCTGTTAAAGAAGAATCACGAAAAATAGCAAACAAAATGAATACTTTAGAATTCATTTTGTTAACAGTTATTTGGGATAAAATTCTTTCCAGAATAAATGCAAGCAGTCAATCCTTACAAAATCCTACTTTGCCACTCTCGTTTGCAGTAAATATTTTTGACAATTTATATGATTACGTTAATAGTTTAAGAAGTTCATTTCTGGAAATAGAAGCAGAGGCATTAAGCACGTCAGAAATAAAAGTGTATTGTGATTTTAAAAAAAGGTCCCAAAAAAGAAAACGTTTTTTTGATGATGCTTATAATGATGAGGAAAATCTAAGTTTTTGTCAGGGCCAAGAAATGTTTAAGCGAAATTGTTTCTACGTAATTTGTGATAAAATCTCTTTTGAATTAAAAGTTAGAAGCAAAAGTTACAAAGATATTGATGAAATTTTTAAAATTTTTCATACAAACATAGCTGATGGCGACGACGAAGACATATCAATTAATACCGCATTGTTAAAAAAATGGTACAGTGGCGACATTGATACCGAAGAATTGGACGAGGAATTGTTGCAATTTAAGTTAATTTGTAAAAGCCAAAATTTAACGTTGCCATCTGATATGCTGCAATTTATAAAGAGCACAAAAATAGTATCAACATTTCCAAATACAGAAATATTATTGCGAATATATTTAACTTTGCCTATATCGAATGCATCTGGTGAAAGATCATTCTCAGTATTAAAACGTGTAAAAAATTATTTACGAAACTCACTGAGTGAATCAAAATTAAATTCTTTAGCTGTTTTATACATCGAACAAAATGCTTTGGATAATATTAATTATGATGAAATAATTGATAATTTTGCTGAATTAAAGACTAGAAAACAGAATTTTTAAATAAAGTTTATTTATACAGTACTTAATTTTTTAAACTATCTTGGCTTTTATTTAAATTATCCTTTTTATTAGTCAATTTATCTCTCATGAGTAAAATATTTATTTAAATATTAAACAAAAACGTTAAATTAAACAATTGATATTTTAAGGTAATATTGTTATTGTATAACAACTTTTGTTAGACATTTAATAAAATAAATTTCAATTTTTTTAAATTTATAAACAAACTGTTCAAACTTTTCTAGAAAAACTAAAATTAAGATTTGTTTTAGTTTTCTACATTACAGTATTTAGGTTTGTTTTAAATCTTTTGTGTGCTTTATTTCATGTGGAAGAGGGAGGGGGGCCCGGTAAGAAGAAAATGTCTAGGGCCCCAAAGTGGGTTAATCCGGCCCTGTGCACCCGCACAGGACCCACTTGGAAGGGGAACCCAAAATGCATGTATTTGTTTTATTATTTCCCAAACCTAATTAATTAAGGGGCCTAATTGCAAATTCTTGCACAGGGCACAGGAATGGCTAGTTACGGCACTGACTGCAAAACAGTATAACCGAAAAACTCTAAAACGGGGTGGCCTACAAAGACGAAACTAACAGAGGGAACAAAGCACCAACAAAGGAAAAATAACTAAAATAAACAGACACCACGAAAATGCGAAAATACTAACTAACACCGAAAATGGCTAGGCAGTTGAAACTGGCCTAGTAATGCCTAACTATGAACTGAACCGAAAATGCTGAACAACTCAGAAAAACATCAAAAACCATAAATGCTGCAATCTAGTAAAATTAGAAAAACTCGAAACCTAGTTGGCTGAGAAAAACCAAAATTATAGGGGAAGCTAAACACCTGAAAACCTAAGTTCGGTTATTGTTATCTATGGTGCCAAAATGGCGGAATTTCCGGTCACCGTTTTGAACTCTTCTCGAGATTGTGCGATAACCTATAGTTCGAACGGAGCGGCCGAGCGTCCTAAACTAACATAACTTATTCTAGTAGATTATTGAAATCATTACTCACGTTAGTGATTTTTTCTTTTTCTTTTCTGCTTTTACCCCGACGAAGTCGATTCTTCAGCACCTGTGGACGGTCTTTTCTTTGTTTTATTACTCATTCTCTTTGTTATGTTGTCCTTTTTTCCTGTTTTTTCTTCTTTTTTATATTAGAAACTGGTGCGACGGGAACACTCTCTGGTTCTATCCATTTCGATGTTCTTCCGGTACCTGGATATATTTACTCAAGTGTTTTACGAATATTTGGAATATTTCTCCCGGGTTTCTAGCTGGCCCTTCCATTCGTCGGTTATAACTAGACTATCAGAATTTACAAATTTAGGCACAACCGAATTTAGCGTGGTTTCAGATTTGTCGTTCACTTCACAAATGAAGCAACTATTGTCTTCCTTGCATATTCCTCCTACGACCCATTTTGTAGATTTCAGTATACACCCTTTTTCGTATTTACGTTTGCATATTACTGTCTCGTCTAATTCGACGGTTTTATTAAGGCCTCCTATTTTAAATGAGGTCATGTTATTCATAGCTATAAGCATCACTAAATGTATGTGGTTTGACCTATCGATGCCTGCCTTTCTTGAAATATCTGCAACAACAGCCGAATTTCTTGACGTGCATTCCAAACAAAGGTAATGCCATATGAAAGACAAAATTCCACCCCACAAAATATTGCCACATTTGCCCTTAAAGGTTCCATCATAAACAGAATATTTTCTACCGCAATTGCTACATCTTAACAAATACGATTTTCTATCGCTTCGATAGTATATTTTACAAGTTTTTGAACATAAACTGCACACACCATCGATCGGTTGTAATTCTAACTTTACAGCAAATTTAAACGCTTTATCTATAATTGATTCCAAACCTAATTCCGATTCCATTAAATTTCCGGATTGTACAACCGGAGCAAAATTCGTCAAAACTGATGTCTCCAAAAAACTCATTAACGCCCTATTACTATTAAATTAAAAATTAATAACAATTATCGTAATGTTTAACAAAAATTTAGGATTAAAATTCACCTAAATAACTTGATTGTATAAAAATCGTAGAGAAAACTATCGTTGAACACACACAGCATGCAACGACAAACGTCGTACTACCAATTGATTTGCATATTTCCACGAGAAACAGTCGTCTACTACGTCATATCTACTAATTTGCATATTTACGTACAACCACTTTTCACGTGCCGTTCAACAAAGACACTTTAAAAACTGAAAATTTACAAAAGCCAGGCACAAACAAGATGATCGAGTGAAAGTTAAAAATCGATTAAATCAAAGAAACTAACTGTTTCTTCCTGGCAAAGCCAAAAACAGACACCGAGATGGCTAAGTGTAACAAATAAGAAACACGTGAAAATGAAAAATATAGCTTATTGAAAATGAAAAACTGACTCAAAATCTAAGCAGCAACACAAATAGTAACCAAAATGACAAAAACAGCAGGAAAAAAAACACTCAATAGAGCCCAAGAAACACAAAAGTAAACCTCAGCAACAAGCTCACCAACACAGACAAGAAGCAGGCAGAGGATAGTAACTACAAAGGAATAAAATTTCTGATACATTGATTTAAGATTATGAAAATAATATAGAAAGTACAGTACATTTAGGAAGACGATAGAAATTGATGAACAATAGTTTGGTTTTGTGAAATGACTGAAATTTAGCAAATAACAAATGCAAGATACAGTACCTAGGAGCTATAACAGATGCAAAAGAGGAGTGCCGTTTAGAGATTAAAAGCAGAATAAGTAAAACACGGCACATCAATTTATTTGGCATAATTATGCCAATTAAATCAATGAGATAGTCCCACATCTTGTATATTTGATTAAAGGATAAAAAGGGATGCAAAGAATGTAAACGAAATCAAAGAGAATAATGTTAGTTTTATTACTTTCAAACAAATGTATACGATTACATTTAAGGAAATTATTACAAAAATATTTACTAAACAATTACAGTCGACCCCCCTATAAGACAGTAGATACGTTCCATTCTTTAGGAATCCGATTTCTTACGAGTCCTTCCAATCACAGCCCGACACGTGTCAAGTTTACGGACTACGGCTGTTTGAAAGGTTTTCTTCCATAAAATTAATCGATTCTAGACTAATCCGACTCGACATTTCCAAAATACGTATATATTTTTTTTTGAAAATAATCCGAATAAACTACGCTATAAACAAAAAATTGTAGGATTACTTACCGAGTGTGCACCATTCGACATCGCCATTGATCAAGCTTGTTTTCGTCGCGGAACAACTTAGCAAACCGCGGCCGCGATTTCTGATGTTATTTTTCTGCGAAAACTTCGCTGAACTTTGGAGACATCATTAATATAAATAATTTTTATCGCCGTTGAATAAGAAATGTTTCTTTCACAAGAAATGTATAAAATTACAGTACTGTATTAGACTTACGGTACCTAATTTACATACTCTACAGACGATAGTTCGCCTAAACTCTCCGTAGCGTGGCGCCAGAAGGCGGAAAATATATATATAATTATAATAAAGTTACAATAAATTAAGTTAATATATAATTATATATACAGTACCTAATTTATATATAATACTGTAGAGACGATAGTAATCTCTCCGTAGCGTGGCGCGCTTGACGGTGGAAAGTAGTTCGGCTGCTCGATGACGTTTTACGTAATTATAGGAGTTTTTTACCGTTTTTTACGGATACCGTCGCAATTTTTTCGCTGTCTTATAGGAATCGTAATTATAGGAACCCGTTTTATAGGGGGTCTATTGTAGTTCTATTATTGGTAGGTTGTATATATTGGCATAACCGAACATTTCAATATTTATCACTCCAATATCAATAGTTATCTCCTATTTAGTACAACACATCAAACGTATTGAACTGTGATGGTCAGTTAGTGTTTTTTTTTTTTCATTCCACAAAATATTTTTAGGTTTTATGGCTAGCGTATTATTTATTAGTGTATAATATAATATACAATAGCTACAATAGGCCCTACTTGTGTAATAATTGTATACATGTAAATAATCACTGTCAACCTGTGCAGTTTGAAATAACTATAAGATTTTATAAGGAAAGTGAAATTATCAGAGAATATGTTTCTTTAGTACGTTAGTGTCGAAGTTCCACAACGACCAGAGGATTTTCGTACATCGCAAACGATAGAAAATGCAGAACGTAACGCTTTGCTCACCTGAAATATTAAAAGATTATAAAACAGAATTGAAATTTATAATTTCAAAAATCCATACCTTTAAGGGAGTTTTTCTGGTGATGACGAAGAAATCGCTACAGGTCATGCCGAGAGGAATCTTTCCGAATCTCTTCATGAAATTCAGTATCTATAGGAAAATATCGTATTAAGTAAAAGGAATCATTTAATTACGAATGTGTGAAATGATTAATTTTAACTTCTTAGTGATGCAGATTTGCAGATAACTGAATTTTCTGATTTCTTGAAACGATCCGTACGCCTAAACATGAAATAATATTAGTGAAATCTTAAGTTTCGTAAAAGAATAATTTGTTGTAATTATTGAAAATAAAATACGGCTCTATAATTTAGGTCTAGTAGTAAATATAACAGAAAGTTGCCCGCACATATGCATTTATGTCCGATTAACTCTTTCGTTGGCTCTAATAGCGTTAAGGTTACCTTCCAGTGGCATATCCGCTCATTTGATTAATTAGGAAATTAAGGACAACCTAGGCGCTGCTATTACATATAATTACAATAGTAGCATTTACGAAATTGTTAAAAGAAAGGTTAAATACTCTGAGCAAGATTCAACGAGAGAATACTTACAGCAGTAGAAACGGTGGAGACGATGAAAATAAAATAAAGCCATCCAATTATGACGTTGCCAAGAAAAGCAATTGTTGATAAAGTGTACACGATGTCATATTTTTTAGTTGTCACTGTAATATTGAGTATAATTGCAAGTAACCAGATGAATAAAGTGTATATCAAGAATATCGAACTTTTGTAATAGTCATTTAAGCGATGGACCTGTTCCATTAATTCTGTATGCTTTACTATTATTACTTGTAATTCTGCATACGCTCGATCAGTTTTACATTCTCTAATTCTTCAGACAATGCTATAAAACGGTGTTTTATTATAATCATGATTACGAAGAATAACGTGCCATTAACTATCATATAACCATACATGTAACACTCAATTGTTGTCATGAACGTTGTGCAGATCAGCGCCATTGTTCCTCCCTCCGCTTCATAAATATATAGATATTTTTTCGTAGTTCTGATTAAAGATCTGTTAAACGTAGTGAAGATAACAATTGCCAATTGTAATTTCAGAACGACATTAACGATATTTTCTATTTTGTACTTTTCTTCCGCATAACTTGTCTGTATTGAGAAAATAAGCAACTTGCGGCGTATGATAGAAAATATGGCGGAGAGCATGGAGGTAAAAATAACTATGTATACGAGATGAATGAATTTATGCTCTTGAGATTCGTTCAACCACGATTCGCAAGGTATTCGTATTGTACTATTATAAAACAGTATCATCAGAATATACGTAGCGGCGTTGATCCACATTAGAAATTCTATAATCTGAGAGCAAAATTTTCCCATTCTATTGGATCGTGAAGGCAAATGAGAACAAGTTGCCAAACTTTCGATTCCATAAAATCGAATAATTTCGCAAAGAGGATCGATTATGCATCGAATACAGAACATTTTCTGATTCTCCATCTCAACAAAGTTTTATACCTTTCGTGTTTAAGGAAAACACGAACTGATTAGTAAATTCACTTTTGTCATAAAGTCCGGAATATTTTGTACTGTTTCTTCATTCCATTTAAGTGCGTCATGCTAGCATTTGTCTTGTGCAAGAAGTATTTGCTTGAATTATTTAGAATACGTGAAATATTCGAATGAACGTTACCGATGCATAATTTACATTTTTAAGTATTACTGTAAAACTAAAATTATTCATATTGAATTATTTATTATGTGAAATCGTGAATGTTTATGCTTATGAATTGATGTTGAAATAAATTGCTTATGAATGTTTATGCTTATGTAAATGGGAATTTTAGGTTCAGGACGACCCGATATATGAACTTCTCATGCGAACCAAAAGTTTCGTTATTTCAATTCGAAAATTTTCCCCCGAAAGAAGTTAGGTTCGTGACCGGTACGACTCTATTGATAACAGGAAAAGTATGATGTACGGAGGCACGATATCATCACCTGAAATTAGTGATAAATTTTAGGTGGAGATGATATACTTTAAATTAAATAAATTAAAAATATGATTAAAAATTGCAGCCCCGCATTGTGACAATATCACAATAAATAATTGCTCGTTAGCATTTACAATATTTTTATAATTAACATTTTTTTTAATAGAATTTTCAAAAAAAAAAAAAAATTACCTTCGATGAAGAATCGCCGCCTTTTTCCAAGCGGCAGCCAACATCAAATTAATCACTGTGTCTGCAGGAATAAAATCACAAATTTTGTCTTCGTCGATTAATATGCTTCTGAGTATTCCTTTTAATCCCTGAAAGTACGCAATTTTTAATCCTTTCTTCATCTCCAAAAGAGTTTAAATGTACTTACGGAGGCAATTAAATAATCTGCACCACTATGGTTATCGTTCCATCCCTAGAAAAAGAAATTCACAACGTTTTTACATTAGTGGTTAATTTACTTTAATACATGAAAAAATTTACTTACGCGAATAGGTTCTTTCCAAGTGCAACCTACCATAGAAGGTCTTACGATAACTACAGGTAAATCTCTACAGAAGTTATTTAAGTAATTTTCTGTTATGGCCTTTGTTAAAGTATAGGTGTTAGGTCGACCTTCGAAAACATTTCCCTCTGTTATCTTTGCTGAATCGATATTTTCTAGACTACAATTAGAAAAATATCAATAAGATGACAATGTTGAAAAATGCATTTAAAGTGTCATACTATAATACTTTGCGATTTTCTTAAATTCTTCACAAGTTCTGGACATTGTATAAATTTTTTCGTCCACTTCCTTTCTATTGCAGAAAGCGTAAGCTGTCGATGTGTGCACGAATACCTGAAATTAAGATATACAACGTATATTGTATTCAATACTTATAAAGGAATACAGTTGATAAGACACTAATAGACTCGTACAAGCTATTTTATAATGTGTATTCAGTTTAAGTACTTACAAACACTATTTGTACAAAAGTTTCGCAGTTACAGTCTTAGAGAAACGAGGCGACTTGCAATTGCATGCAACGTGATTTTGTGGAGCAATATCATGCGGAAGGTCATACTTAGAATATGGTTCTTTTGATCGTTTTGCTCCTACGGGTACGGTCTACGGCTGCGATAAGGTCCCAAGCATCTCATTCAGTGGTGTAATTGTACTCGATTTCCTCCAGTATGGTAACCCAAATCCCAATGCACGATATCCAATTGTTTTGATGAAAAGTTTATAAGTAATACTGCAAGCCATATTCCATTTTAAAGTCTCAGTGGACAACTTATTTCTAATTTTTATTTTGTTTAGGTTTATTTTTGAAAAAGAACTCTTTTGTGGGAAGAATTTGAATGCGGGAACGATAATAAACACAACACAAATGACGCCATATTTGTAAATGGGTAACTGTCACTTCAGTCTTTCAAATTCTTCAGTCTTTACCATATTTATCGACTTCCTTCAACACACCTATGCCATCCGGAAGATCTATGTGGGATAGTTTTTGCCACTTGTTATCAATGGATTGGATCCTGTCAATGTCATTGGGATTCATAATCCGTGATACATATGCAGCTAATGGTGCTAATATAGGTAAACTCTTCCTTGTTCTGCTGGCCAGGACAGTCGCTGTTAGAGACGGGAAGTTTCTCACAGAATCCTTGTCTTCCTGAACTTCTTCAGGAAGACATGGATTCTCATGGTAGCTCGTTTTTTTTACTTCTAGATTCAAAGTGAAGAGAAACTGTCGGTGCCACGTTTTCGAACTAATCTGTCATCGCCATTTTCCTGGCAATGACAGACTCGCAGCATGCACATAACTTTCACATCGAAGTAAATCTGGGTCAGGAATATAAATTAAGATTCTTCTTGTTGTAATCTGGACACATATATATACTATATATCAAGAGCTTTGTATAACTCTCTATGTAATCAACAGTATATGTAATTAGCACAGTATATATATATTGTTCCTGGCAAATATTCAGAGTGATTGTTGCCACTCAAGCAAGTACCAAATTACATAAAATTGTTGACTTACACTGATTCTTTTATCAGACATTTAGCATTTTTTGGGGGAGTAAGGTGTATTTGTGAAATTATCGTAGCGATTATCCCATTATCTTACAGATGACAACTCTGGTCTACAGTAATGTCAGCTGTAATCCGATGACAGTATTTTAAAACTCTGTTTCGTATTAAAATTTTCGGTTTTGTGCTGGATTTTCTGGCTTTTTTTGTTGTATGCTTACTTTTTGATACAACTATTTTTATCTTAATTGTATTTGTAAGGAATTGAACACCCTTAAGTATTGCAATTTGCTAAATTTCAGAAAAGATCATGTGTTTTTCGGTAAAATTTCTGAAATTTTGCATATTAAGGGCATTGGTGCAATGAAGTTATGGTGGACAAAGGTCGAGAGGGTGGGAGATAGAGGGGGTCATGTGTCATATCTCGAGTAGGATCGGACTTAATAAAGATTTTACTCGTTATTAACATTTACAACTTTTTTTTTTAAGTAAAACTCGTCTCTACCCTCAAAATTAAGCTTTTTGTCATTTTATAACAATTAATAATATAAAAGGCTTTTTTTTAAATAAAATTGGATAACAGATGGCGCCACTACAATTTTAAATTTTTTTTTGCTGGGAAAGTTAACCAACTCGTTCTGGACTTTTAGATACATATAGTATCGTTATAAAATGTAATAATATATTTATATTTTAATTTAAACGTGTCATTAAATAACCGCTTCAGTATATATTAACTCTCATACATCCTTTAATGCAGCAGAAAAATTTTAATACTAATGTTTTACGGCCATTTTTAAAGACCATTTTCAGATTAAAAATCAAACGATTTCCAAAACAAAATAAGTTAGAACAGAAAACGTAAAAGCCGTTATGTTTGAATTTAAAAAAAAAAAAAACCTTCATTAACGAGTTGCGTAACTTTCCAGGCTAAAACATTTAAAATCGTATATGACGCCATCTGTTATGATTTATTTATATTATTAATTATTATAAGATAGCGTAAAGCTTAATTTTCAAAGTAAGAGATGATCTTTATAAAGAAATTACAACTGCTAATCCCCTCGTAACGATTCCCTCTATCTCCCTAACCCCCCGACCTTTAACCACCAAAATTTAACAGCATCAATACCCATAACACACAAACTCCCCTGCAAAATTTCAGAAATTTTTGACAAAAGGCAAAGGAATTATTCTGCTTGAAAGTGGGTGAATAAAATCGTGTCCCCCCCACACACACAGAAAAAATCCCTCAAGATTTTTGTAAAAATCTTGGAGGAGGAGGAGGAGGAGGAGGAGGAGGAGGAGGATGATTTTCTCATCATGTCCGTACTTTCCCTCTATTAAATAAATAAATAAAATTTATTACTTTAATAAATAAAAATATTTAGAACACAAGTTCAATGCCAAACAATCGATAATTTTTATTTATTTATTATTATTTTTTTTTTAAATAGAAATCTTCTATTATTTTCTACGAATTTTCCTTCATCTGATACCGAGTTGTGTACATTTTAAAACAATATTTATCTTCATAAAATATTACAAAAAAATTCTTTCATTGTAATTTTTTTGGTTAATCTATTTTTAACATCAGTTTAAGTGTAAAGATAAGGTTGAAAATAGGGATGAAAAGATTCTATTTTAATTCTTTTTAACCTGTAACCTGTTTCTTTATGGAACGGATAAAAGATTGTTTTATTTTGAATGCCAGTATATTTGATTGCATTCTTTTATATATATATATATATTATTATTATTTTTATTTTTATTATTATTTGTACATCAGTGATGAAGGATTAGATAGTATTTTTATTCACAGAAGAACGATCTATAGGCCTACTTTCGTGTATCGAAATTAGGACACCCAGAAGAAGAAGAACGTATTAATAATATTATTTACTCTATTTATATATGGTAGAACCTGCGTAAACCGGAATAGCACGGAATCGAGTACAGTAAAACCTGTCTAAAATGGAAAAAACATTCGCTATCGTGCCATTCGGTTTACACAGATTTTACTGTATTTTTCCGCTTTAAACAGGGTTTTTTTTTAATATTGAAAATCGCCCGTGTAACGAAGAATTTTTATTCGTTTAGGCAGGTTTCCGTTTTATTAAGGTTTCGTTTTGAACGGGTTTTACTGCATTTATTTATTATTTATTTTTTTAAGGTAATAATGATGCTTACTAGGACAATGTGTTTAGAGTTTTCCAACAGGAATGGCAATAATATCCATTCTGTCAATCATTTAAATGGTAAATAATGTTATGGTCTATATATTAGCCCTATATAAGAGCACGTAAACTAAAAGTTTGATGGGTAAATCCAGGTTTTTTTTTTATTTTTTGGTAATAATTCTTCTATATATAGATATAATCAAGTGTACTTTCCAAAACAACAAATGATTTTTAAATAAACTCTAGCAGAAAAAATAGGCGAAGAATTTTCGATACGTAGTGATATTTTTGTGTTTTTTTATAAAAGACGGAGACAAAAAAAACAATTATAGGGTAGCCCAAAAGTCAGTTAACCGCCATAGGTTCGTTAACACGCATCTCGGTTAACTGACTTTTGTACCTTTGATATTTATCTTGAATAGATCCAAAAAAAAAAAATGAAGGATGACCCAAAAGCCAGTTAACCATCTGTAGTTCTTTTAAATATATTTCGGTTAACTGACTTTTGCATTACTCTTTATTCCTTATATTATAAACTTATAAAAGTATATATATATATATACGTTTCTTTTTATTATGCCAACAAAATAACCTGTAAACAACGGCTATTATTGTTTTCTATTTTGTATTCCCGTCAGTGGCCGTTGTTCACAGGTTTGAGCGTACACGAAAATTACAATTGAGCTAAAGTTAATAATAGACTAACATTTTTAATAAAAATAAAACCCAGAAAAAACTGAATTATTTAAGGGAAAAAAACACAGAATTTTTTTTTCTATTTTTAATAATAAACAAAAGGAAATTAACGAAGAAATTCAGGAAGAAGGTCTTCCTCGTTATTACATAATAACGCTAAATGCAGACACGAAACAAATCAAAGTGTAGCCCTTTCTACCGTCCCAAATTGATCGACCTCATTACCTAATCTTTGAACTTTTCTGCACTCGAGACGTATTCCTAAGAGATTTGCAGTTCTCGACAACTTTGTAGGAAAATCTTAAACCACATGACCTAGACTTTTGCTCTTTGCTTATGCCTAGTGTAACACACTTTATCTAGGTTATGTCCAGTCTTATTTATTATGTCCATTTCTACCGTATATTTATTATAAAACTATCCTTTTAACCTTCATAACACGAAAGCATTAAATTTAATTTAAATATAAGAAAATAAATATATGAATTTTATACGTCTAATGGTAAATTAATTGAGGAAGAACTCCGTTTGGTCGTTGTTTGCAGGTCGGTTTTTGTGTGCAATTCTGTTTAAACAGAAAGAAATGGCCGTTGTTTGGAGGTTGTTTCGTGAACGGCCGTCCGTCGTTGGCAGATTATTTTACTGGAGGTTCGAAATATCGCATTAAACAATTAGAAGAGAGTCGAATTAATATGGCATGTATGGTTACAGATTCGGAAACATAATCTTTTATGTACAGTACGTGATCGAGTTTATTTTTGATTTCTCCTCGATAACGGAGTGTCTGTTCGTGTTGTCTGTACTCCACCCAATTCGCAGGATATACGATATCACGCTCGATAGATATCCACTTCTCACGCTACACGCCACCCATTAAGCTGCGAGAAAACTTATCGTACATCTATATTTATTCTTTTTTTTTCTTCTCTTCTATCCACTTTTTCTCCTTATCTGGATAATAAATTGAACACTAATATAATACAACTTCTACTTAATCCATATATCTTTGTATATCTCCGGATTTATTGTAGCCTTGTATATCTAATTTTTTTAATAGATTTTCGAAAGGATTTTTTACATTTTTTCGATATATAATTGTGCTAAATTTTTCTAGGGGAAAATATAGAAATTTATGCTTAGATGGTCTAAACGGAAATTGTTGATGTGGATTAGTGATCCATAAAGTCGTTTCCTAGAAGTTATGTGACCGATTTCCAATTTTTCTCCTTTTTCTATCTAATGAATTAGACTCGATAACCTGATAAAAAGTTTAAATGAATTACTTAATCTATATTAAAATATATATTCTTCTTTATAATTTATTGGCAAGATGGAGTCTTATCTGATGAATGATCGTGGTTACGCGCGTGTAGATAGATGGCTATTTAATGTTTAATTATGTTGTATAAATCACTTATTTTCCACTATATAATTATGTTTGGGTACATATTTTACTATATAATTTTGTTAGAGTACAAATATTTGTAAGTTCCATTGGAAAGCTGGAGTTCTTACTATGAAGAATTAAGGATGTATATGTGTCACTAAGTATTTAATGATTAATTATATTATATAAATTACTTATTTGTCACCACATAATTATGTTCAGATACACATTTTACTATCCAATTTTATGTTAAAGTATAAATCTTTATGTGTATTCCATTGGAAAGCTGGAGTTCTATGAAGAATCGAGGATGTGCCATTATGTGTGTTGCTAGCCAATTAATGGTTAATTATATTGTATAAATGACTTATTTTCCACTATATAATTATATTTAGGCGCATATTTATATATCTAACTCCATGCAAAAGCATAAATCTTTACGTATATTCCATTGGAAAGCTGGATTTCTATCTAAGGAAAATGGAGCATATGTATTTATAGTTAGCTATATAACACCTAATCTTATTGTATAAATTACTTATTTACCACCTCATAATATTATCCACTATCCAACCCCGTGTTAATATATAATTTTGTATGTAGATAAGGGAGGAAGAACGGTTTCATATGCAAATTGAATTTGGCTTACAAGATTCGAAACTAGTACAAAAGATTAGAATTTATTTTATTACAGGAACATATAAACGTTTCTTCAGAAACATAATCTACGATTAGAGGAAATATAAAAGCAGGAAAATAATAATTTTGTATTTTTTTACTAAAAGGAAGAAAATGCGATTTTTTTAGAGGAACTTAATCTATTAGTGTTTAATGTGATTTATGCTCTTCTAATGAATATTATGTCCAATTTTTATATATTTATAGACTCCAGCTATATTTCTACACTCAAAATATGACCTTTGACCTTTGCTAATACCGAGATAATCCCCAAAAAAGCAATTTGTTAGAACAAGAGATAACTTTAATGAATTAAAATTCTCTAGTAATTGATTGCTTACCTTCGGTAACAAATTACATTCGATCTTTTGTACAGATTTTTCACGTGTTTTAATTAATTTTACCCTCTGGAAACATGTTCAAGTCTTTTATTTATAGCCTTCTAAACATAAATTTTAATTAATTATAATGTAGTAATGTGTTATTTTAATAGAGACTATTCTCATTTATGATGAAGTATAACCCATTAAAATGTATTTTTAGATCGTTCTACAATAAGAATATAATAATAAAACAATATAATTTACTTTTTTGTATGACAGAAGGGCAAAATTTTACTAAGAAATCGAATATAAAATGTTCTTAGAGGACGATTTATAACTACGAACCGTCCTCAAATTCCTATCCCCCTACTGCCGTTAATATTCGAAATTTTGGCAAAAAATTTAATTAAAACAATGTAAAACTATATATAAAATGGATTAGAAGGGGGGTTAAATTTTGTTAGAATTAAAAGAAAAAAGTGATATTGAAGCTGCGATATAGAAAAAAAAAAAATAGGATACGCTCTTTGAATGCGTTGTACATTAAATAAATAAATTGTACAGATGTACACAAGTCAGACACGAGATAGAAAGATGCCCCCGTGTAAAAGTATGTATGTATATATAGTTGAGAAGATCAAAATCAATTTATAAAGAGTGTACAGATGAACTTGGTCCTGACGAATCGGATCAATGACCTGAAGAGAACGCGGAAGATTCGACTCGCTCAGAAGCAATTTGAAGGTAAACTATCCTAAATATAGACCCCCCTCTCGTAGATACGGTCAAACAGAAGGTATACCTTAAGGCTATTGCTCTACTAGTATCTTTCTTTTCTTTATTTTGTTTTTTTTTTTCTACGTACAAAAGTAGGTCTGAATGATGGCATTCAAGTACATATACCGTTACGTAACGTAACTCTTCCAAAAAGTCGAGTACACGTGACGTCTGCCAGCCAATAGTTTTTCGTGTTTCGACCCCCGACGACGTCACGTAACCGTCCTTTGTATTTAACCATAGCCCCATCAGTTAAAAAAATTAACAGTTGTGATCTGTCAGGTAGTCATTTGTGTGTTGTGTGCAGGATTGTGAGATTATCAAGGTAAAGGGTAAGTTAAATATAACTCTTTTAAGTGCTNTATTATTTTTATTTTTTATTATAAAATTTATGTAATGTTGTCCAATAAAAATGTCAATTATCATTTTTTATTTTTATTGTAATTATTAAGTCGTTGATGTAAAAATAAATAAATTTTCATTAACAAAAAAAATAAAATATGTGTTGTTAAAATTGAAAAATTTCTCCTATTTTTTTTTTGTATTTTAAATCATTTTAAAAGCTATAAAACACTTGAAAAATCGAATTTTTGAAGTTTAAAACGTGTAAGTACTTTAAAAAAATAATTAAATACATATAATTATAGGCTCAGCAGAGCCTTAAGAAAAGTATAAGTAGCCTTAATAAAGACTGAAATCTAGTATTTAAAAGCATAGCAAAAATTTAAGAATGTATTTTAAGTGAGCCTTAATTGGCTTAAAATACTTTAAAAGTATGTTAAAGGCTTGAATTTTTTACTAAAGCCTGCCTTAGAAGGCTTAAAACACCGACTCACGTGTTTAGAAATCCTTTAAAATAATGTCAAAGGCCTAATAATATAAATAAAAGGCCTAATAATAATAAATTACGCCTTTAGAAGGATTCGAACACGTTAAGTGTTCGAATCACGCGGTTAAAAATCTTTTAAAAGATGTTAAAGGCTTTTAACGTGTGCCTTAAAAAAGATTTAATTGAGTAATTTAAAAAATACACCTTACTATAATCATTAATTAATTTTAAAAGGCTTATAATGTAAATTCTCGAAGGCTTGCTTCACCTCCAACCCTCTTTAAGGCGTATTTTAATATGCCTTAATTAAAGAGGGTTTTAAATGACGTAACCAAGTAATTTAAAACTTCACATTATTACAGTTAAGTATAATTAAATTGTCAAAGCCTTAAAAGAATATATTAAAATTTAATAATTTCGAATGAATTCAGGCTTAAACCAGGGTGAAGATAAGGGATAATACAATAAAACCTTACACTAGAAATGCCCGTTAAAGTTCGCTTTAAGGCTTTCTTTTTGTATTTAAGCTTACTTAAGGCTTTATTTTACGATATTTTTTTTTACAATTCAGAGGAGTAAAAGCCTTAAAATGTGGAAATAAGACTAATAAATTACTTAATTATAATTAGGCATGAAAAAATAGAGCTTTTAGTATAAAAGTAATTAACTTTAGAAAGTTTAAAAGCAATTTAATTAAATACATTTACATGAAATTTATAAAATATTCACAAAAACGCCAGCAAATGATATTAAAATGACAGTTGCACGAGTTTATTCCCTACTCATACCGCATTCACATCACCTGATATAATAACAGGTGTGACACCCTTTACCTGTACACACAACAAGTACAGTTGGAAGATAGTAATGTATAAATTGGTGTTTGTATTAACGACCATACTCAGATACATCACACAAGGAGAAAAATGGAATGAAGATTCTCCATATTCAGCACCCCCGAGCACGAATTCTAGTATTAGAGTTGAATTTAACGAGACTAGAACACGAATTTTGCTAGGAACCATCACCAATTTCGGCTCCAGGACCACAGGAAGCTCGAGGGAACGATCGGCCAGCATCTACATCCTCAAACAGTTATGGAACATCAGAAAACACAGCAAAACTTCCAACCCCCTTCGTATACAAATCCAACGAGCCAGTGGGCACTTCTATACAGACTTCGTAGACGGGATGACCGTATATTACAGAGCAGTAACGAATTTAGTGGCTAAAATTGGACCCCCGAACTCCCCAAGTCTATTGTTGGCATGCCACTACGACACACTACCAAGTAGTACAGGTACAGTATATATAATCTAATTATACTAAAATACACAGCTTATTGTAGCATATGTTTATAACATAAAATGGCTACGTAAAAATATAATTTAATTATTTTTAAAGGATATATTTATGTTAATACCAAAGAGCAGATTGTGGAGGGTGTAGAAAAATATTTAAATATTTAATGTAGGCGTGTTTGTTTGGGTTACATTAGTTTAATTAGTGTTATGATGATACAGTTTATCTATTTGTTAGGTGCTACTTCTAGTGCTTTCCATTGTTCGGTCATGATCGAGTTACTCTACGTCATCTCGCAGTACGAATCGACTATTGAGAACTCTATTGTCTTCCTCTTCTGTGCTGCTAGCGAATATACACATTTAGTACGTATTTTTTATGTAATTTTTGTATCTAGAGACACGTCAGCCTTCCCCATTATCAACATTACAGAAAAATAACCTCTCTAGTGTTCGAAAAAACACCTGTTACTTCATACCTCTCACTTCTTTCTTCTGTTGAAACTGTTGAGTTAATTTCTCATGCTATTCACAATTATTGCAATCCTTTGACAACAAAACAGCTTTATTTCTAACTAGAAGAGTTTAATTAACAAGCTCTACATTAAAGGTAAGCACACCTCGTNTTCTTACTATGAAGAATTAAGGATGTATATGTGTCACTAAGTATTTAATGATTAATTATATTATATAAATTACTTATTTGTCACCACATAATTATGTTCAGATACACATTTTACTATCCAATTTTATGTTAAAGTACAAATATTTATGTGTATTCCATTGGAAAGCTGGAGTTCTATGAAGAATCGAGGATGTGCCATTATGTGTGTTGCTAGCCAATTAATGGTTAATTATATTGTATAAATGACTTATTTTCCACTATATAATTATATTTAGGCGCATATTTATATATCTAACTCCATGCAAAAGCATAAATCTTTACGTATATTCCATTGGAAAGCTGGATTTCTATCTAAGGAAAATGGAGCATATGTATTTATAGTTAGCTATATAACACCTAATCTTATTGTATAAATTACTTATTTACCACCTCATAATATTATCCACTATCCAACCCCGTGTTAATATATAATTTTGTATGTAGATAAGGGAGGAAGAACGGTTTCATATGCAAATTGAATTTGGCTTACAAGATTCGAAACTAGTACAAAAGATTAGAATTTATTTTATTACAGGAACATATAAACGTTTCTTCAGAAACATAATCTACGATTAGAGGAAATATAAAAGCAGGAAAATAATAATTTTGTATTTTTTTACTAAAAGGAAGAAAATGCGATTTTTTTAGAGGAACTTAATCTATTAGTGTTTAATGTGATTTATGCTCTTCTAATGAATATTATGTCCAATTTTTATATATTTATAGACTCCAGCTATATTTCTACACTCAAAATATGACCTTTGACCTTTGCTAATACCGAGATAATCCCCAAAAAAGCAATTTGTTAGAACAAGAGATAACTTTAATGAATTAAAATTCTCTAGTAATTGATTGCTTACCTTCGGTAACAAATTACATTCGATCTTTTGTACAGATTTTTCACGTGTTTTAATTAATTTTACCCTCTGGAAACATGTTCAAGTCTTTTATTTATAGCCTTCTAAACATAAATTTTAATTAATTATAATGTAGTAATGTGTTATTTTAATAGAGACTATTCTCATTTATGATGAAGTATAACCCATTAAAATGTATTTTTAGATCGTTCTACAATAAGAATATAATAATAAAACAATATAATTTACTTTTTTGTATGACAGAAGGGCAAAATTTTACTAAGAAATCGAATATAAAATGTTCTTAGAGGACGATTTATAACTACGAACCGTCCTCAAATTCCTATCCCCCTACTGCCGTTAATATTCGAAATTTTGGCAAAAAATTTAATTAAAACAATGTAAAACTATATATAAAATGGATTAGAAGGGGGGTTAAATTTTGTTAGAATTAAAAGAAAAAAGTGATATTGAAGCTGCGATATAGAAAAAAAAAATAGGATACGCTCTTTGAATGCGTTGTACATTAAATAAATAAATTGTACAGATGTACACAAGTCAGACACGAGATAGAAAGATGCCCCCGTGTAAAAGTATGTATGTATATATAGTTGAGAAGATCAAAATCAATTTATAAAGAGTGTACAGATGAACTTGGTCCTGACGAATCGGATCAATGACCTGAAGAGAACGCGGAAGATTCGACTCGCTCAGAAGCAATTTGAAGGTAAACTATCCTAAATATAGACCCCCCTCTCGTAGATACGGTCAAACAGAAGGTATACCTTAAGGCTATTGCTCTACTAGTATCTTTCTTTTCTTTATTTTGTTTTTTTTTTTCTACGTACAAAAGTAGGTCTGAATGATGGCATTCAAGTACATATACCGTTACGTAACGTAACTCTTCCAAAAAGTCGAGTACACGTGACGTCTGCCAGCCAATAGTTTTTCGTGTTTCGACCCCCGACGACGTCACGTAACCGTCCTTTGTATTTAACCATAGCCCCATCAGTTAAAAAAATTAACAGTTGTGATCTGTCAGGTAGTCATTTGTGTGTTGTGTGCAGGATTGTGAGATTATCAAGGTAAAGGGTAAGTTAAATATAACTCTTTTAAGTGCTTGTAATTTAATTACGCTCGTCGGTATAGAGATTTTACAATGTTTTTTAACATTTAGAATTATGTATTCACCTTAGAAAATTGGAATTTATACTATTCATCACTTAGAAAATCTGTTAAAGTGTAGTTTTATTGAAACACAACTCGAAGATGTGTCTTTAAATCATTCGTTTTTCTTATTATAAAATTTCGCGCGTTAAATTGTTATTTTTATAGCATAATTTAATGAAATTCGAGCCAAAATTTTCATACAGTTTCGCATAATTCGTGTAAATGTAAAAGAATTTCCAGTTTGCGAAGAGTTTTAGTTTGCACGTCGGAGCTGTTGAAAAATTTCTTTTTGATCTTGACCTTGATTTAGTAACCATGTCCCCGTGTGTATAACAGGAAATCTTTACATCACGTTCTAGGTTGTATGTTTATAGGTCAAGTTTGTTCGCCGTCTCTTTATATTTTCCCTCAATACCACGGGTCATCCATTAAGAACATAAAGACACACTTACTCCCACGAAGAGATAGTTGTAAGATAGAAGACATCCTTAAAACAATATTTCTCTTTTGTTTCCCCGAGAATTCTAACTAACGACACCTTTTTTTTTGTCCCGTTCCTTAGCCAGAAGATGATGCCAAATTGTCTACTGTTGATGGTCGTGGGCATAACAGCCGCAGCATCCACGAAGAGAGAGGAATATGCATCCTACTCGCCATCATCTAGTTCATCATCAACAAATTTCAAGAACCAACCTTTATCTCAGGGAAATCTTTACTACTACTACCCCGTACAGAAGAAGGCACACCACGACAACATGTATTCCGGAAGTTCTTCCACCCACGCCTACGCAACAGCACCCGGCACGAGCCATTCTTACGCAATAAGGCCCGGAAGTCAATATGACGTACAAACACCTTCCTATTCGCCACACGGGACTTATGGACTAAGTGGATTAGGTGGATACGGTTACGGTATGCCATCTTATAGCAGTCACCCGTCTTACTCTTACCCTCCTTCGGTCAGTTATGCACCATCTGGTTCGAGTTACTTCCCTCAGATGGCATCTTACCCCGGTTATTCTCCTCAACAGAGCTCTTACGGGGCCAACAATCAGAACAAGAGATATGGTTTGAGTTCTCTTATCATGCCCATGTTAGCATTAGCTGGTTTGGGACTTCTCATACCCAGCGTTAGTGGTAATCTTGTAAGCAGTGGAAGAAAAAAGAGGGATGCCACGGACCCAGAAACGGAGCATGGTGAAAAATTGGAAAAATATGCACGCCTTTATCAAGCCGCTCTGCAAAATGAAGAATGTATGAATAGAGTTGTGTGTGAACTTGGAAAGACCATGAAAGATCTACAAGGAAAGACACCCATGATAGGGTAAGTTTTTATAAAACCTTATAAATATATATCTTCAACACACAAAAAAAAATATATATATATACATATATATATTTCCGTGTTAAGACACTTAAAACATATCCTTGAATTTTTTTTTTTCTATTAAATCAGGTCGACATATTTTAATTTTTTTTTAAAAAAAGTTTGTATGAACTAAATTTATTAATAAATATAATTTCAGAATTTTTAACGTAATAAATAATTAAAATATACAAAATTACTTTAAGAAAAATAATTAAATATAAATTACATTTATTAAAATAATTTCTTTTTCGAATTTAAAATTATTTAAGAAATTATTTAATTACAATCAAAAATTAATGCTGTTTTATAATGAAAAAAAAACAATTCAATTAAATTTTTAAGATATAAAAATAGATTATTTAATTTCAATTGTTTTCAATAGTGAAACAGATGATTTTTAATTTAATTTAATTCGATTTTAATTTTAATTAAAATTTTCATTTTCATTATCATAATAATGAAATTGATGATTTAAAAGTATTCACGTGTTTCATTAATTTGAAATCGATCGATTAATTTTACATTGTTGAAATCGATTAATTTTTTTTTCTATTGTTGAAATTGATTATTTAAAATTTAAATTTCTGAAATTGATTTATTTAATTTTAAATTATTAAAACAAAGAAATAAAATAATTTATTTTTATTTTTTGAATTTTTACAAACGGAAAATAAAAAGAAAAAAAATTAAATTTTTATTTTAAAATTAAAATTAAATTTTATATAAAATTTAAATATAAATTTTATACTTTTGAAATAAATGTAGAAGCCTGTTCACACGACCGAATTTCGTTGCCTAATTTATTATTATTGTTTTAAAAAAATTATGTTTAATTTATAGATTTAAAAAAAAATACGGTTTGAAGTTTATAAAAATTAAAAAAAAAATATTTAAAAAAACATATTTTAAG